AAAAGCAGAGTAAACACTTCTGCTCGCAAATCCAGTCCAGGACCTTGTGGATTTTTACCTCACGTTACAGGGGGTCTCACCCCAAAATAAATAAATAAAATGTAATGTCGAAAATACAGTATGATGGTAACTTAAGGTTGATGGTTCAAACCCCGACACCAGCGTGGCAGTCACATAAGCTACTGTCAACTTGAGGAAGGGTGGAGTCCAGCCTGTCAATCAGGTTGCAGCTTGATGACCTCACTTGGAAGCACAACCGAGATCAATAGCTCACTGGAGGCCAGACACACTCTCTCTGCTTCACCCTCCTGCTGACAAGTCACATGGAGCTACATTGATGGAGCCAGAGCCCTGGAATTGGAGGAGCCATGCAGAGACCCATGCCAGCATGGAGATGCTTCCACTGCCACTGGATCTATAAGACTGTCCACCCACTGACCTGTGATCTTTCTGCGTTTGGCATTATTGCATGTGTTTTGTGAGTCTGAAATGGCATTTATAGACTGGTATCGGACATATGGACAAATATCGGACTTATGGACTTGATCTGGACTGGGCTGTTTTCATAATATACAATTACTCTTTTATATAAAACTCTTTCTTATACACATATGCATCTCCTGAATTTGTTTCTCTGGTCTACCTGGACTAATACAGCTGGTCATGGCACCCCTAAAGATTCGAGGCAAGAAAACCCTCTCAGGCAGTCCTATTCTAACACAAGGGTCCCTATGAGTCAGATCGACTGGAGGGCCTAACAGTAAGTGACAAGGTGTCTGAGGACTTGCCTTTAGCTTGTCTTTCTAGGCAACCAGCTTGGTTCTCAGAGAAACAATTTCCCTTCAGTGCTCAGGTTTAACGTCACAGCTAGTTACATTCTTACCATAATGAGTACAATTCCCAACTGCTTGCCGGGACCCTCAGCTCAGCTCAGCTCTGCGGGGAGCCCTGAGGAGAGCAGGTCTGTGTGAAAGGCCTGCTAGGCCAGAGCTTCTGCAAATGTAGGTGCCCACGCATCTGGCCTGAGGGGGGGCAAATGCAGGTGCCCATGCAGCCAGCCTGAGCGGGGGCTGCCGATCCAGGAACACCCGGTGAGTAGCAAGATGTTGGCTGATCTGGCATACCCAGCTACCTGCCCACTGAACCCACTGCCCAGTGAGTCAATTCCAACTCACAGCAGCCCCAGAGGGCTCAGAACTGCCCCGTTGGATTTCTGGGACTGTAAGGCAGTGGTTCTCAGCCTTCCTGATGCTGCGACCCTTTCATACAGTTCCTCATGTGGTGGTGACACCCCGCCCCACAACCATAACATTATTGTCGTTGCTACTTCATAACTTTCATTTTGCTATTGCTATGAATCGGGTGACCCCCAAAGGGGTCACGACCCACAGGTTGAGAACTGCTGCTGTACATCTTTACAAGAGCAGGCGGCCTCATTTTTTCCCCTCACAGCAGCTGGTGGCCTTGAACCACTGGCCTTTTGGCTAGCTATCCTAACCCACGGTGCCACCAGGGCTCCTGTAGGAGCTACCTGCTGGCATGCCAGGTACTTTGGGGGGTCAAGTGAAGGTCAATTAGGACAGCTAGTAACAAACAAACCGAAGGCACTGTGTGGACTCCATTCCACTTGTAGCCACCAGACAGGACGGGACAGAACTGCTCCAGAGGGCTCCTAAGGCTGGCATCTCGACAAAAGCAGAGACTCACCTGCCTCCCTGGGAGCGGCTCTTTAGTTAGCAGCCCAGCACAAACAGAAGCCTCACTCGCTGCCGTCAAGGTGATGCGGACGGACGCACAGCAGTGGGCTGTGAAGAAGGACCCTGGAGGGTTTCCAAGACGGTAGCCCTTTATGGGAGTAGGAAGCCTCTCCTCTCTCCCACAGAGAGGCTGGTGGGAAGCCGAGGAATGGGAAGGTGGGAGATGTGTAGGTTAAATTGGTCACCTTTCGCTGCAAGAATCCACAGGTACATTAAGTTACTGTCTCAAGAAATAGATGTGTATGTATTTTATTTTTACATGAAATGATCAATTAATGCAATCTCTATCAAAATCTCAGCTGACTTTTTGGGTAAAAAATGGACAATAATCCTAAAATTCATATCCAAATTCCAACGGACCCAAAATGGCCAAAACACTTTTGAAAAAGAACAAAGGCAAAATTTCACACTTACTGAAAAACGATAGTTGTTAAAACAGTGTGGTCTTGGCAGAGAACAAACATACATCAACAGAATAGAAATGAGAGTACAGAAGTAAACCCTCACGTGCAGGTCAATTTATTTTTTACCAGGGTGCCAAGAAGATACACGAAAAGAACTATATTTTCAACAAAGGGTGCTAAGCCAACTAGAGGTCCACCTGGGCAAGAATGAAAGTGAGCCCATAGCTCACACCATACATAAACACTAGCTCAAAGTGAACCACAGATCTAACTTAAGAGCTAAATGACACAATTCTTAGAAGAAAATGTAGGCACTAATATTCATGACCTTGGATTAGAGGATGGTTTCTGAGCTATGACATCAAACGCAACAAAAGAGAACAGAGAACTTAAACAAGTCCAAAATGAAACTTCCGTACTTCAAAGAACACCATCAAAAAAGTGAAATGAACATCCCTAGACTAGGAAAGAGCATATTTGCAAGTCGTGTGTCTGATAAAGGATTAGTTCTAGCATAAAGAACTACTGTGAACTTTCATAATTCAATAATAAAAACAAGTAACTTAATTAACCAATGGATGCAAGCTCTGAATAAAAACCGCTCCAAAGAAGACGGGGCAAAAGCCGACAGGAACCAACACGAGAAGATGCTCGCCCTCAGCATGCACCAGGAAAATGCCAACCCAAATCACGACCAGCTCCTGCTCCACACCCACTGTTGTTGTTGGGTGCCATCGAGTGGGTTCCGACTCCCGGCCACCCCAGGCACAACAGAAGGAAACACTGCCTGCTCCTGCGCCATGCTCACAATGGGTCTCATGTCCGAGCCCATGTGGCAGTGGCTGTGCCAAGCCATCTCCTCATGGGCTTTCCTCGTTGTCACTGCCCTTCACGGAGTGAAGCACTTCCCAGGGACTGCTCACTCCTGACTACAGGTCCAAAGTCTCGCCACCCTCGCCTCTAAGGCGCACTCTGACTGTACTTCTTCCAAGGGAGATGGACTTGACCTTCTGACAGACCGTGGTACTTTCAATAGTCTTCGCCAACATCACAGTTCAAACGCAGCAGGGCTTTTCCAGTCTTCCCTATTCAATGTCCAACTGTCACAGGCATCGGAGGTGACTGAAAATGCCACGGCTTGGGTCAGGTCCACCTCAGTCCTCAAAGTGACCCCCTTGCTTTTCCACACGTTAAAGAGGCCTTGTGCAAGGAGATTTACCTAATGCAATGCCACACCCACTTGGATATCGATACCGTGTTAACTTGGTTGTTGAGCGGTTCCAAGCTCCAACTTTCCGCTACTCAAACCACAAGCTCGAAAAAAATCTGCTTGGTGTTTATAACTTTGCTCCACAGTCGGACCAAAAATCGACTTAACAAAAACCTGTGCGGGCTGAGAGTCATACTTGCCAAGGACACCAAGGGGTGGTGCTCCAGTCTCGCTCAGGCAACACGTAGTGCTTGTGGTAGTGTTAAAACTTTCATCGTTGTGGGTTTTATTCCCCACTTCATTTGCATACAATATCGTAACCATGGCTCCAAAGAAAGGTGGTGACGCCAGCAGTAAAGCTGAGAGGGAAATGGTCCGGCAGTGTTAAAGAGAGACATCATTGTGAAATGTGAGTCAGGT